GAGCGGCCAGGGCTTGCTGTGCGGGTTCTGCGTCTGAAACGCGCGGTAACGCCCGCGGCCGGTGTTCGGAGGAAGGGGGTCGGAGCCGGGCGGGCGTGCTGGCCATGGGGGAGGATGAGGAGGAAGACTACATGTCTGATTTATTTATTAAGTAAGTAGGTGGCTCTTTTTTTTCCTCTTAAGCCATTGTGATCGTGTTTAAAAAACAAAGCGCTAATATTTGCTGGAATTGTTAACTTCTAGACAGGATGTGAGGCCAGGCTTGCCCATGGTGAGGCGGATGAAGGAAGCAATTCAGAGAGAAGAAAAGCAAAAAGAAGCCAATGAGAAGAACAGACAGAAAAGTATAAAAGAAGAAGAAAAAGAGAGACGTGACTTGGTGTTGAAAAGTGCATTGGGCAACGAGAACAAAGGCTTTACTTTGCTCCAGAAGATGGGCTACAAGAGTGGCCAGGCCCTTGGCAAAAGCGGTAAGCTTGTCACCGTCTGGCAGCATGTGCCTGCGTTCAGGTGTACCTTTATATTCTGCGGACCATAGCTGCCACTTCAGTTGTAGACGGGGTCAACAGACGCCTCTCTGAGAGCCCTGGCGTTACCGAACTGTGGATGTGTTGTGGCAGAACAAAAGATGAGAGCAAATCTCTAGAAGCTGAAATAAAAATGGTACAGACTGTCGAGAGATGCGAGAGAAGCAGCGGTGCTCACGGCTCAGTGAATGCGCATCCAGGTGTGCATGCCTACAGGGGTTGCATTAGGGATGTTTTGATGGTTTTGCAAAGCTTATAGTGCTCCAAAAAATAGTCAGACCCTCTCTTTGAGTGTATAGTTGGGAATCTGAAGAACAAATGGTGCACATTGGCCTACCCTTATAAAGCCTTAACAGATAAAGTAAAATCAGTAAAACAAAATATCAGTAACTGCTGTGCCCATTCAGTGTGTCTCTGACAGACAGTCGGCAAATGAACTGGCCCAGACAGATTCTTTTTATTCTTCGTCTTTGTCGAGTTGAGAGATTCTAGAATGAAAAATCCTTCAGAAGGCCATAACAAAGCAGTCTTTGTCACAGGTATGTTATACCTGTCAAGTTGTCATCATTTTCTTTCAGTTGGGTAGTGTCCTGAAAGCAGTATATAGCAATCCAGCAGAGAAGCCCAAAAAGAGAAGGGAGTTCCAATTCAGATGGGTCATTTGTAATGCACTAAATGTACATTGCTTTGGGATTTTTCAGCTTCTTAGCAACAAAATCACAAGAAAATGCACATATTTAATGGCAAAAGCAGCTTGTCTACTTGAATATACTGCACAAATATACAAATACAAAATACACACTGAGTTCACTTTTGGGCCTCTCACTACAAGAAGGTGGTGGAGGTGCTGGAGCATGTCCATAGAAGGGCAACGAGGCTGGCGAGGGGTCTGGAGAAGAAGTCTGATGAGGAGCTGCTAAAGGAACTGGGGCTATTTAGTCTGAAGAAGAGGAAGCTGAGGGGAGACCTTATTGCTCTCTACAACTACCTGAAAAGAGGCTGTAGTGAGGCAGGTGTTGGACTCTTCTGCCAGGTAACTAGCGATAGGACGAGAGGCAATGGCCTCAAGTTGCATCAGGGGAGGTTTAGATTGGATCGTAGGAAAAATTTCTCTACTGAAAGAGTGGTCAGGCATTGGAACAGGCTGCCCAGGGAGGTGGTGGAGTCACCATCCCTGGAGGTGTTCAAAAATCGTGTAGACGTGGCACTTCAGGATATGGTTTAGTAGGCATAGTGGTGTTGGGTGGATGGTTGGACTTGATGATCTTAGAGGTCTTTTCCAACCCATGATTCTATGAAATCATAGTTTGAGAAAGTCCTGATTTCTGAAATTGTCCTATTTTTTCCCTCACAGGAGAAGGCATTGTTGAACCTATTCCTCTGAACATAAAAACAGGTTTGTGATACTTCCTAATTTCCTTAGCTTGGTATCAGAGCTTCTCAGCTGCTTACATTCATCTTTTGAACTTACATAGGCAGAAGTGGGCTTGGTCACGAGGAATTAAAAAAGCGGAAAGCTGAAGAAAAACTGGAAAGCTATAGACAAAAACTCCATATGAAAAAACAAGCAAATGAACAAGCTGCAGATCAGTTCAGGTAAAATGATGTAACTGATATTCCAAACAATGTCTGAAGAACTGTTCTTTGTATACGTTACATTTGGTTATTCTTTTAATGTGTTACTATTTGTGACTGTTTTGAATGAGAGATAAGAGTTGAAATACAGCATAATTTTTTTTCAGTTCTAAAGCAAAAGCAGATGAACACTAATGCTAAAAGTGTATGCTGCATCTTTTGTTTTTTTAAATGTTAGTAATGCAAACAATATACGTACTAACTTTTCTCAAGGCATTTGCAACTTTTTGTATCAGAGAACCACGTAGTCTTTTTTAATACAAAATCCACAGGTATTGGGCAATGTTGTTACAATGGTTTTAAAAATCAGGATAAATTTGTTTAGATTTTATTGTTTTTATATTCTCCTGATTTGTTTGCTATATATGGAGAAGGAAAGTGTA